GCCTGCTGCCTTGTGTTCAGGCACGCAGAACGAAACATTTGGCCCCATTCAGAATCAACGAAATGACACTTTGTTTTTCTTACAAGACACCAGTTTAGTACTTCAGCAACACTGTCGAACGGAGCGACGACGCGCAACCTCACTTACGAAGGGGTCGAAATTCTCGAACACAATGGCCGATGAGGATGGTCAAACTTGCCAAATTTCTGAAGAGGATCAAAATAACAAACAAGATTTCTGCACTGAGCACGCCTGTAGTCCACGCACACCAATTTATCAAACATTCAATGAAGACTAAGATGATTACAGTTCGTCGACATTCATGTTCTTGTTTGCACCTACTCTAGTTATCTTATTATCCTCTGCGCGCTTTGCAAATGATCGAGATTATGGGTTCGTTTAGCGATTTACAGCAAAATCTTACTTGCGCTGAATTTGAGTCATTTTCCGCATTTCGGGCTATACTGTTCGACGGCAAGATAACCATGGTAAAACCCGATCAACCAACGAGCGACTCACTATCGGTACTGATGAGAAGCGGCGTCATCCGCTTTCAGCATGAATAGATCTGAGTCACCTGCCGTCACTCTCGCTTGTCCTCTGATTTCAGGAATCGTGATCCCGCCTTAACTCCGCTTCACATTTCTTCCTCTTCCGCATTTAGCGTGTTTCCAGTGTCAGCCTGTCCCACACCCAACCCATGTTCTCGTTCAGTCTTCTAAAATGGTTTACTGCTCTCGGCTCCTCTCAGCCTCATTGTCTTCGCATCTTACATGCCGCAAAAACTTAACTTAACGTTCTTTTCATCCAAATATTAGGATCTGAATTTTTTTGGGTTTGGTCTAATTATTCAAAGATTAGGAGAGTTGAGTGTTAAATGGTTACAATCAACGCGTTGTATCCAACCAGCAGTGCGCACACTGCTCGTTCACTTCACACCTTCTTCCACATTCGCACAGCAGCCTTCTCTTCTTTCGCTGCTTTGCGCGACCGCGTCCTCTCGGCAGGTCACAGTAAACAGAAATCTATCACTATCTTCTCGGTATGTCGTACCACCAAAATTTCTTCGTTTCGTTCACAGATTGCAGATGGTCGCTGATCCGACGTCGTCGCGCGCCGCAGGTCGCCATGAGCCGAGATTAACCGTCGCAACAGTCGTCGTTGGTGGCTGCTTCACCTGCTATGATACGCATGGCCGAGCGCCGGCAAAGCAGATTGAGGCGCGTCGCCAGTCGATTTTCGTCTGAAGTGCTAGCACAGGTCACCGAAGGCCGCCTCTAGTTACGTGCCACCAACGCAGGGAACTGACAAGGACGGAGGTCCATATTCTGATTTCATAGCGAAGCAGAGTACGACACGGAGCAGTGGCTGGAGTTGCCAGAAAGAAACTGAAATATCTGTCAAACAACGTTCACAGAGGGTCAAGGTGCTGCCAGCCTGTCAGAGAATGAAAAACGAGTTAGTCGTTTACATCGTGTCTTTACGCATCACTTTTCTCTTTAAAGATTTCATCGGTTAGTCACCTGACATTGTCGATTTGCTTCGGTAGGCTCACTGTAAACAATCGGTGTTCAGGTAGCAATGTCACTCAAAGAAACCAACATTTAGAATACCTGAGAGTCGATCATATCCTCAATATTTTAGGTGCCAGCTTCAGAATCGATTTCTGCGAATAGAAGTTACTGTGTCGGTGTTGATCCAGAAGGTGTTAAATACACACCATTTATAACAATTTTTATAACATTTTGTTCGAGCACCTGAACAAAATGTTATAAAAATTGTTATAAAAATGAATTGTGGCATTTGGTTCTTCTTGATCAACATTCCTTACATTTGAGTGGCTCTGATGTCGCAAAATCCTGATTCGCAGGAGTGACGGCCAAAATGATTGAGAGTTGGGATTTAGGATGTAATGCATGATCATTTCTCGAATTTGTTCTAAATGTTCATTGGTTTCTTTGAATTGACATTTGTACTACGAACCTCGACATTTGCTGGGGTTGATCCCCACAGGCAATTTTTATTATTCCGGGTAACTGGACCAATGTCAGATTGACAACCGGATGGGAAAAAATCTTTAGGGAAATTGGAGCAGTGGCGATACCCTTAAAAGTTTTGATGAAATAAACGATCAATAATTGACCGTTTCAAATTTCTTGACTTGAACAGCGCTCACCTTGTTACCTTCCGGCAGAGATCTTGGTTTCGTCTTCAATTTCTTTCTAACCAACCAAAAATCCTCGAAAATTTCCTGTGTGCTCGAAACGAGCCCAATCATCGAAATACGAATAAAACATAGAAATCAAAAAAATATGAGACCTTTCCGTCCTTGTTTGAGTTTCCTTTCATTTAGTGGCACATGGCAGAGCTTTCGCAAAGGAGCGGCTCGGGTGACTATGCCAACACCTCTGGCAGAAAATCACGTCCAACGACCGCCTCGATCACGGAGCTTTTGCCACTCTAAGTTTCAACTTCATACGTATCCTCTTAGGTAAACTAACCTGTGATCCAACGACGACAATTTGCGGCAGTTGAATCTCAGCTTCTCGTGCTCCGACAGCCGCGAAAACATCTTGCTGATTTATTTATTGTCGGAATCAACGACTCCATCTGGAAATCGAAAATTTTATAATCTAATGAGCAAGCAAGAAAATGGAAGAAATTTTGTTGAATAACACATTTATACCAGAGAAAAGAGAAAGATAAAGTGATAGATTTCACAATTTTCTTGACGCAACAAAATTTGAACCACGGGGACTATACCACAGCGGGAGATATCTTTGACAAAGCGAGAAAGAGAAAAGAGAGCGGGAAGAGGACACTGTGCGAGTGTAAGAGGAGTGAAGGTTGGCTTGAGTATTGGAAGAAATCTACGTGGGTAATTGAGAGAGCAGGTGTGTTGAATATGAAGATAGTACGCACACTGCTTTGAAAGTTGGATAACTACAGCGCGTTAGTTAGTACCATTTAACCTTACCTCAATACCTTTTACTCACCAATCTTTTTTCGAAAATAATTAGACACCAAACCCAAGAAAAAAATTCCAAGATCGCGCCGATTTGATTTTGTGTGTTTTAGTTGAAAGAGAATCTGTTAAGTTAAGTTTATGCGGCACGTACAAAAGATACGAAGACAATAGAATAGAAGGGAGCCGAGAGAAACGAAACAAAACCATTTTAGAAATTTAAACAGGAAACATGGGTGGAACAATATAACGAGAAGGGAATGTAGGAGACAGGTAACCTTAAAACGCGCTACAAAAATGAAGTTTTCACAGAAGAGGGAAGAAAATGTAAGCGGGAGTTGGTATAAAAATCGGACAACATCCGCAATTCCACAAGGAATCGAGGATAAACTTGAAAAGAATGGCAAAAAGGGAATTTTGTGCGGGGTACGGTAGTGCATTCATGCTTTAGAAAGCGGATTGTGCCGCTTTCACGCCAGTTCCTTCAAACCACACGTAAATTGGAATCTAACTCGTTGAATGATCAGGTTTTATGGGTTATGCCCGCGTGATAATTATTTATAGCCAAAATGCGGGAAAAATGGCTCAAGTTCAGCACAAATTAGAGATTTTGCTTGTAGATACAACAAACGAACCCCGCCAATCGCTTCAGTCCATTTTGGCGCAAAAGCGCACAGAACAGGACCCGTGAAATTGTGAAATAGCTTTAAGAGTAGGTGCAAACAAGAACCATGAATAATCGATGATTACAGACTTTTGTATCCATCTTAGTCTTTGTTAGTGTATGATAAATTGAGAAGGTGTAATGAAGTTGTGCTGTGTTCTGGGCATTATACAGTGCACAAGTACCTTTGTATTCATTTTGATCCTTCTTCAAGAGAAACTTCTATAAACCCTAAAAGTTTCCCAATTGCGTAACACAGTTTTCGGCTCATCAATGCATTGTGTTCTCGAATTTCGACCCCTTCGTAGGAGTGAGGTTATTGCGCGTATCTCTTTTCTCTCCCATTCCTTGAATGGCACTCAAGAATTTTCGCTTTCATTCTTGTCTGCAGCAAAAGAAAAACAAAAGTATGTGTCATTTTCGGTTAGTTCTAGAAATAAATTTAAATATTTCATTCTATATGCCTAAAACCCTAAAACCTTTAAACCAAAAACTCAATGTCAGAAATTTCCAAAAATGGGAGGGGGAAATCACCATCTAGCTTGAATTTCTAGGAAAATCAGCCAAAGTACCTTTCAGGTTCACCGTTTAACCCGTAGAACAAAAGAAAACAGTCTAATGAAAACTGTAACTGCAATTTAAATGAGTCATTTCCCCTCGATCATTCTCCACTTCTCCATCATCTCAAGTGCGTTGTCTTTCCAGTGTTCATCCCCCGTGTGACACACACCATTCGCATTCATTTGTTGTGACACTTTTCCCCCTCTCTTTCTCTCTCCCAATCACTCTTTTATCAATTCTATCTATGAAGAGAACAGGCTAGCTTTTTTTCTCGTTTTTCCCTCCTCTCGCAGACAACTTTTATCATCTTCACTTTTTCACCGATCGCTCCCTGTTTTTACCCCCAGTTTTTCCCAATCTCCAATCATTTTTTAGCACTTAATATCAGTGTTTAAAAGTTAGCTTTTTCTTACAGTAATTTCGACGGAAAGTCAATCAACGAAGGGTTTTTGCGGAAAAATTTCCAGTAGACCTTATGACCAAATGGCCCTTTTCTCTTTTTCTCTTTTCTTTTGGGTCCTTTTTCCTTTCATTTTCTCTCGTCGTTCTCTTGTATCGACTTGTAGTTTGTATTCGAAATGCCCCAAGGCAGCTGCTTTCTATTTTTAACCTTCTTGCACTCTTTTAAATTTTAAAAACTTAGACCTTCTCTTAAGAAACTTATTACTGCGCTATAGCTGTTCTCAGTGATCGAAGTTATACATACTTGTTATAACAGTGATGGGTTTGGATAGGTGTTTAGATCTATTTTATTCCTTTATCCATCAACTCACCCATTTTGATTTGAGCACTTTATTTTCGATTTCAGAGATGTTGCTGAAATTTCTTCTGCCCTGTCTACTTTTCGTATTTTCCAAAGAAGTTCTCGGAGCACATGGTGAGCACAAAATTGATTTTAAATGATTAAAAACAAAAGAATGATTTCCCCAACAAATATTCGTTTTAGAATGTGTCTGGATCACGGGCCAGGTCAACTGTCAACATGATCCATCAAAAATCTCAATGTTGAGGTAATTTATGAATCTTTTGGAATTTGTGAAATCCTTCACTGTATCTACAAAATCAAACTTTGAAAAGGCTTATCTTATGGATAACCCAACTCAATTCACCTTGCATCAATTTCAGATCAGGGTCTATGATCGAGATTCGACATTTTTCCTCCTCAAGCTGATGGATCCCGATGATTTGATGGGGTGAGCAAATAAATAAACAGGCTTTTAAGGTAATGACAAAATTACATTACCCTTGTTCAACCCCTAACTGTTTTAAATTTGCCGCTTTGTCAAAAATATTCCAGAATTCTGATGTGGGTGATTCGTTTCCGTTCCACCAAGTCGGGGACAGTTCATTTCAATCATTTTCATTGAGGGCATTCCCCGCGAATTCCAGATAGTTCCGCCACTGAATAAATAGAAATCACCAAAAGGGGAAAAGGAAATTGAGTCGGTTGAGAAGGGGAATAATCGAGCACTCTTCGCCAAAAATTCTCTTTTCCACACATTTCTCTTTTTCTCAAAGTCTCTTTCCTTAAAATGGAGATGATTTTTCTTGTCCATCCATGTGTAAATCTTTCTGATGTTCAATCGTCGGGGTTTTGCATCAGATCGACGGTTCCATATATTGACTCACGTCCGTTAAAAAAAAGGAAACACGGACCTTTGCCAACTTGAACTACAGTGGTCCACAAAAGTAATGCCCCATTGCCATCCAACAGTATGTTTTGTAAGGAAATCTTGCAAAATTGACATTTCAGAAAAAGAGTAGGGTATTTTTATCTACCTATAAGACTCTAGTTTTCAAGAATATAAGATTTATCCCTATACATTGCATACAAATTAAAGTATAAAACAAAACCAATAAGTTACTTGAAAATTAGCTCCACAAAAGTAATGCCCCATTTGCAAAGAATTAACACCATTTTTTAAAATCAATACTTGGTTGGTCCTCCTTTTGCTTTTATTACTTCATTGAGTCGATCCGGCATGGAATCCACGAGATTCTTCAAAAGACTTTGGGGGATGGTGGCCCAGAGACGTTGAATGTGAACCCATAAGGCAGCCTTCGAATCGAATTTCTTTCCCTTGAGTCGCTCGATCAATGGGGCATTACTTTTGTGGACCACTGTATTATAGTGAATAAGTCTTTTCGTTTCTCTTTGGACTTCCGTTAAAATCAACAAATGCAGTAATGAAACTACGGTTTGTTTCATTAGAAAATCCAATTGTTTTTCTGCAAAATAACATTAAAACAGGTTTTAAATATCTTATGCCTGGGGTTTTTTGAGAGCGTGAAGTCGGGTAGTCAAAAAGGGCGATGATGCAGTTTAGACACTTTAGCTAAGGAAATTTAGCTTTGTGTCAATAGATAAAAGATAGAACACAAAAAGTTAGGTATATAGTCAAATTTTCAGAGAAACTGATTCAGCCAATTTCTTCGTAGAGGCTTTTATAGATCCCTTCCCTAGTGACCCTAGGCTAGTGTACTCTATATTTTAAACACAAAGCGCAATAAACTCAATAAATATCTTTATGTTGCATTTATCTACTTTATTATTAACGCAATAGCTAACGATAAATTTTTTTAGAGTGACCTTTTCGAGCGAGAACGGTCTTTTCTCTTTGGACGGTTGCGGGAGATGATTTTGATTGGGTTCCAGGCTTCAAGAACAAACCCGAACCATACATTCAGGTATGCAAAATAGGAAAAGGCTTTAAGTTAGCAATTTTACATAATTTTTATACAAAAACTAGCTTTCAGATTCGTCACTACTGCAACAAGGCCGAAGGAGAGACGATCACTCTGCCTGAATTCAGCACTTTTGTCCCCAACACTTATGAGGTAAATTGCAAGAAAAAGCACCCAAAAAAAAGGATTCCAACGTTAAGACCTGCCTCTGTTTCTCTACTAAACGTATCGAATAGCTTTTAAAATGGATTCTTTTCAGCTAGGCACGTTTCAACTCGACGGACCATCGAATGGTGCTCCCAAAGTGAATCTGAAGACGAATCGAACATGAAAACTATGTTTCGAAAGTGTTTCCCAGAAAAATGTAAATACGAATACTCTTTGTGGATTAGTGGTGTAAATGGAAATTTATGAATTCGTGGTGCTTTTCCTTTGATTTTCACTGTACGGCTTCATTCCCAATTTGGTTGTGATACACGAAATAGAACATTCTTGCCTGTAAATTTTCTCAAAATTTCGAAACTCTTTCTGATTTTTTAAGTTCAAAAAACATTTCATGAGTTTTTTTTCCATTATTAGTCCTATGATTAGTCAATAATTGCATGTCCCGGTCAAGCAAAAATGAAAAGAAAGAAGAAATTCTTTCTTCGAATAAACGGTTAGAATCGATTCTCTTTTTATTGCTGCATATTTGTTTTGCAATCAAAATACCGTAGTCTTATAAAAAGGAAATTTTGGTATAGGTGGTAGTAAAAGGAAATGGCTAAGAATGTAGCAATGCTGAATTACAGTATTTTTTTACAGTAGTTTCAAGATTTTTGACGATGAATCTAGGAACTTCGAGTTTGCTTTGAACTAGTTGAACTTTAACAGTAGAAGAGGCAAAAAGAACTGGATAAAACGCTTGTTGATCATGCTTGACTATTGCGTGGGTGGGTTGGGGCAATTACCCGATTTTCCCGGGTTCAACGGGGCAACATTTGAACGGAAACTGATTCGAGCACTTTTGTCATACCGTTGAAGCTGAAGTTGAATTTTGAATTCCCTAATAAAACCGCCATCTCTTAAAGTAATTTTTACTTCAATTTTCAAGTTTTCGCTTTTAAAGGTACGTGATTTGTTTTCTGCTAAGAGAACCATCGCTCACTTATTCTTTTCTAAATCGCCATCTTCTTTCTACTTAAGAAGATGGCGGTTCTCACTGATTTAGAAAAGAATAAGTGAGCAATGGTTCTCTAGCAGAAGACAAATACGTACTTTTTTTACATTTTTAGGGGGTAAACACAAAATGGGTTCCTTTTCTCCGGAAAGGGTTCTCTCACTTTTGGTGGCCGATTTCGGTGGAAAGGAGCCATGGAGTGAAATGGGAGAAAAGATCGAGAATGGAGAAAGGAAAACAGTCTCATCTCATACTCCACACGAGCGTCTTCTTGCCGCCTCATTTGCACGGATTCTACGTGGGCAACGGCCAGGTTTGGAAATTCTTACAAACTTGTAATTTCCTCTACACTCCTTCACTAATTGCGAGTGTTTCTCATTTTTCTCCAAACACTTTCTACTGTGTTCTGATACTTGCACAAGTACACCACTCTGGAATAGAGTTTTCTTATCTTTATCCACTTTTTAAAGTTTAAGTCTAAGTTTATTATTATTACAAAAATTATATAGAAACCTACCCAGATTTCCATTGATTCATTCCAGCCAGAACTCTGGAGACACCTTGTACTTTCTCGTGTTTTCTCATCCGTTTTTCATTCTGATCAATCTTCCGGGAGAGTTCCCGGAGTTAAGCTTGTAAATGTTATCGGTGGAGTTCATTTTTGCACACTGCTTCTTGTACTCTTGAAGGGGAATGGGTGTAAGGTATGCGGAGAGGCGGTCTCTTCCGGCCTATTCCCTCACTATGTAAGGTGGCCCCGTTATCTTGTGATACCCCGAGAATTTCCCATCTCTTTTTTTTTCTTCACCTGATCGCTCCCCTATTGTCTTCCCCCTTCTTTGATCGAATTATCTGTGAAAAAGTCTGAGAAATTCTGATCGGAAAAAAGGATGACGCCAACTCCCCCACACTCAGGCACGGTTTTCTTGATCTTGAAAATTTTCAACGCTACAGAAATTGAGTAGTCCAAACTTTTTCCTTCAGTCAGACTTCATTAGATATACAACTTTTATAGTGAAGTATCCACTTCGAATCTCCTGAAACTATACCAAAACTCCGTTTACTAGCATAAAAATGAGCACTTACGGTCACTTCTCTAGTTGAGCATTGTTTATCCTATTATTTTTGATTCACTGATCTGATCATTAAAAAAATTATCTTTTCTGCCAAGAGAATGATGTCTAAAAATCGTTTTTGATTACCATCTTTTTTCTCAAAAAGAGCACTGATATCGATCTGGAAAAACGAGAGAAAAACGCGCAGTCATTTCACTTTTTGAAAATCACTGGAAGCTTATTGTTATTTTTGATTTGCTTAATTTTCGATTTAGTCAATACTTTCAAAGTATGGTCTTTAAAAAGAACTCTTGCATCATAGTGGTAATCTTTTTTCCGAAAAAGACAGGTGTTATCATAATGCAGCGTCAGCTTACGATTAATCTACTCTTTACTCGTTAGCGAAATCATTTCAGACCTACTATAAGCCTTATAAAGAATTCCAGAATTCTTTAATTAAATCTAAATGTATTTTTACACAAAAACCCCATACCCAAAAACCTTTCCCTTAAATGCCATCATTTTATTTTATTTTCAGTAAATCAAATCCATTTTCGCGTCAAGATTCTCCGAAATGAAATCCATCTCAAAAATCGCCTCTGGCAACCTTTTCCTTTTTTTGTCTTCACCCTAAAAAGCGGTTTTCTGGTGCTACCGGACGGCGAAAAAAAACGTGGAAACCGATTGATCTTCTTTTCTTTTTTGCCAAGGAAAGAACTTTCTCCCGATTTTTAAGAAAAATTGGTACTAGCCGGTTATATTTTCCTTTAAATGAAATAAACGAAATCAGAAGGCTAAAGGGTAATAAAGGGGAGAGGAAAGGTTTGTGGCACCAAAAAAAGTTCAGTCTTGATAAGCATAGCTCGATTCTAAATAACTTCTGTTTTAAATAAACATGCAACTAATCGTAATTTTGTACTGAAATTTTTTTTGAATACCTTAGACATGTTGAGCAGAGATCCTGTTAAGTTTCCCTGAATAAGCCGTCTCCGAACTTTCGGAAGTTTTCCTTTGTCTGCTCACTATCAGAGCAACAATTATTTTTCTTCAAATAAGACTACATGTCTTTTCACTTAATATTCCCTAAATTTTCGTCTATTTTTCTTTCTTTCTTTCTTTCGGCAATCCGGTAGATCTGGAATTGAAGGAGAGCGATACGGACAAGAGAAAATCTGCCATTGTCAATCTCCCATCCCCTCCTCCTTTAATAATTCCTTTCTCTTTTCATGCTCATTTTTTGCATAAGCTTTTTTATTATCATCAAGTTTAAATTATAGCTAAATTACTTTTTGATCATTTCTTGCTATGGTCATTTCTTGTTCAAGTTCTCAAAAGTTTATCAATCATTCTTTCTAATTGGTTATGTTCAAACTCTAGTTCAAACTCTTTAAAATAATATAAATTACATAAATATAGTCCTTGAAAACTAAATGAATCGATTTCAGGAATGGAAATTGGTCAACGCCACTCATCGGACTCGTCGGACGAACGTTTGGCCGCCGTTAAACGAATGCGATTATCGGTGAGTTCACTAAAAATTCACTAGAAATCCCATTGTCTTTCTATAATTTTATATTTATTGATCTTTTAATCTCTTCTTGAGTATCACCAAATTGTAGAGTCACCATTAGAAAAAAAAAAAACGACCCGATAAGGGGTGATCGCTTCTCACCGAAAATTTACGTCAGGGTTTAATAGACAGAAATTTCTGTTCGCATTTGTGCAAACACGCCAAAAACACATGTTTGGCCACAAACAACAAAGTAATGCAAAAAAAAAGAAGAAGATATTCAGTTAAGTGAAGTAATTAGATTGTGGACACAAGGGTACAAATGAATGGTTGATGAGAAAAGGGGGAAAGAAACCTGATTTGTGAACCCTTCTCGATCACCAAAGTCCGCCAGTGAAGGGGATAATTTTGATGGTGATGGTTAATTGGAGGGAATGGGTGAAGGAGTGATCGACAAAGATTCCCCTCAGTCAACAATGTACCCATCGAACACACAAATAGGTGATTTCCATTCCGAAGAGACTCTCTGATGTCCGATCTCTTATGAGCAAATCAGGGTATTTAGGGGGGAAAGCTCAATAACAACTCATTCATACGATTTAAATAGTCTGGGAAATTTGATTTCTAAAAGTTGTAGTCAGAACGAGATGCCGTTCAGAGAAGAATTCAAAGCAGGGGGACTTTTCTGAAGCTTTGTCTCTTCGCAAGAGCCGATACTGTATACGGTAGATCTATACAGCAAATTCGGTACTGTACGGTGGCTACGGTAGATTAGCCGTAGACAGAATAAGCCTTGAAGAAGTCTGTCTAATCCCAGTCTATGGAAGACTTCAATATCAAGATATCGTTTCTTTACTTCCAATTGACTTGACTCTCCAATTTGTGTACCGATCTTTCCCTATCCCTTCCCCTCATTTTGATGAGCATCACAGCTTTACAGTTCCGTTTTTGCACAAATCCACAGATCAAAACGCTTGTCAACATCCTCACACAAAAGGGAAAAGCCGGGAAATGACAAGTGCGACGAGAAAAACGCACAAATATTTGTTAGGCGAAAACATCCAACAATAATGGATGTAGGATGGTGTCGGTGTGTGTGGGACAAAAGGGACAAAAGGAGAGAAAAGTTTCATCTGACTGTATAAGCGTTATAGGAAAAGACATTAAACGGGGGGGGGTGAATACATAAAAAATGTTACTCTGTTACGCATACACGAGAGAGCCACGTGGGAAATGAGACTGGAGAGGGGAGGGGGGGGGAAGGGAGAAGCGGGGCGGGGCATTCGTGAGCCTCTCTTCGATGAGAACTGTCTCTTTCCCCCCACAAAACATCCCCTCCCATTCTCCCTCAGAAAATCTCCATTTATCCAAAAAGTTTTCATTGCTTTTCACGTCATCATCACCCCATTCATTCTTTTGCTCCTTGACAATAGACGATGAAACCAATGGGACTCCAGGTAGAGGCACATATATTGCGATCGTTGACGGGGTGGAGGCATTCACAAACCGATTTTCCGACTAGATTCCCTAAAGCTAATTCTTGTTAACAATGGTTTTCTTTAAGGTGGTTTAGTTTGTTTTATGTAGATTCCTATTTGCAAGTAAGTTAAGTGAGTCTGATCAGCAGAGCATGCTGATCAAATCTGATCCGAGCTTATACTGCAGCAAAGATTTTCTCCCTGCCAAACGAGCGTACATTTGAGAAACGTAGTTTAATTGAGTATCCCAGAAGAGATGCGTTTGTTAAAGCACAGAGTTCAAGCGTAATCCCCTTTGCCTGCTCTTAAGCCATCTCCGATTTTTATCAGAAGAAATGTTTAGGCAACAGAATGCAAAAGCTCTATCATCGTAAATGGTATATTCAAGTAACGGAAACATTTTAAGGACTACTCCGCCGGCGCCACAAATGTTACATTTCAGCAGCACAAAATCGGCCGCGAGGAACGTGCTCAGATCATGGGTGAGTTGAGAAGGAAAATTTGGCATAATGCCGTTATAATACCAAAATTTTATGATATCAAATCAAGCCCAAATACAACATCATATTTTCAGGCAAACATCCGGGCTTCCGTGGTTGCACAATCTGGTTCACGGGACTCTCCGGCGCTGGAAAGACTACTGTAGCTTTTGCTTTGGAGAAAGCTCTCACTCAGGTGAGTTATTCATTCATTATCAAGATCTAGGGTTATTTTGATGTTCATTATGAAGATTTAGGGTTATTTTGATGTTCATTATCAAGATCTAGGGTTATTTTGACGTTCATTTATTTCTAAATCATGAAAACACGTGTCCAACAATGGAAGAATGAAAGGCGATCATTGCCACGACCACATTTTCTAAACTTTTATTATTTGTATCTCAAGGCATCATCGATTGCTGTATTTTTGATCACTAAAGTGAAAAATACAAATTTCGATGAATGAAAAGCGTCGTGGCAATGATCGACTTTCATTCTTTCATTCTTTCATTATTCAGTGGACACGTTTTCATTATTTAGAAATGAATTCAAATTGATGACACTCTTTGAAATGAATCGAAAAGTGACAAAATGAAAAAAGGGGAAAAGGAAAAAAACAGTGGATAGTCCGAGATTAGACAATAGATGAAATGGATGGATGGGGAGAAGGGGAGAATCGAAAATGATGGAAATCTGAGTGAGTGAGGGAGATGACTGTCTTTAGGGAATCCCTTGCATCACAGTCCTTTTTTATTTCAAAGAAAAGAAAGAAACCTGTGCTGTGGTTGCCACGAAAAATGCCTAGAGCAAAATCCGGATATTTTTTTTGAAAGAAGGGGTGAAGAAAATGTTTGTGTTTGGGATCGATTTACAGAGATACTTTTGTAACTCAAAACTCCCTTGATATCAGACTTGAAAGCTCATCAAATCTCATCCAATGACCATCGTACTTGAGCCTATTTACATTTTGTCAGGTGTTTTGTTTGCTCAGGTGCCTAGTTCAATTAATAGTTTCAAAAATTGATCTTTTGATTAAAAACAGCTGGAAATATAGACTCTTGCAGTAAGCATTAGTGCTTGAAGTGCAACGAACCACACCTCCTAGGATTCTCAATAAAGAAGAGTAGCACAGAAAACCCCTTGAGAGGAAAGGGCGCAGAAAAGAAAGCAAACAATGTATCCTCATGGTGGATTGCCAGAACGTCTCTCTCTCAATCGGAGGATGCGGGGTTCGACTCCTCCTCCAGTCACTTTTTGCGCCAGAACACTGCGACTCCGCCTGCAGTCACTTTTTCCACCAGAACACTGCGGCCCTTAGATCCCAACTAACCAAATCAAAATGAACAGAATTCTGAGCAAGGTCATCAAACCATAGATCATTTGTTAAAACTACTATGTCCTTATTATGTTTAACATTTATTTTCTAGTTGGGTCTTCCCTGTTATGGACTTGATGGTGACAATGTCCGTCATGGTCTCTGCAGGAATCTCGGCTTCAACATGGGTGATCGTTCCGAGAACATCCGCCGCGTCGCTGAGGTATGCATTCTAAAAACGAAATTAATCGCTGCACTATGTCTAATTAGAATTATCATCTGTCACTTCTTTTCCAAAATCAGGAAATTCAGGTGGCCAAATTGATGGCAGATGCTGGAATGGTTTGTCTTGCCTCATTCATTTCTCCTTTCCGAGCTGATCGTGATCAAGCGAGAAAAATTCACGATGCGGTGAGTAAAGCTTTAATTGATTAGATTTTCATATTCCTTCAATTTCAGGAAGGGCTTCGCTTTATCGAGGTCTACGTGAACACGCCACTCGAGATTTGCGAGACCCGTGACCCAAAAAGTTCGTCTTTAAACATGAAATTTGTAAAAGCATATGTAAAAGTTAAAAGTAAAATTTCTAAAGCCATACATCTACCTATACCTATAGTTTTTCAACAAAATAGCTTTTCAGAACTTTACAAAAAGGCGCGAGCTGGCGAGTTGCCCGGTTTCACCGGTATCGATTCCGCCTACGAGCCGCCAGAGACACCCGATTTGGTGAGGGTTTTTTTAAAGTTTAAAGTTATATTTTCATATAATATCTTATTTACAATTATTTAGTCGAGTTTCAATCTTCATTAAGTATTTTTATTCTTTCAGCTGGTTCAAACGGAGAACCGCTCCGAGGCTGAGACTGTTCATCAAGTGCTTCACTATCTCTACGATTTGGGCATTCTTCCACAAAAGGTAAATCATTTTTGCCAAGAAATAATGGCATTTTGACAACAAAAACTATTGTATCAACAACTTTTCAGCCTTTATATCATTTCAGATTGATCGCCGAGCGTTATGGCTCATGGTAGAGTGATGATAATTAGTCGGAAAACCCCCAAGCATGAACATTCACATCTATTAGGCTGTCCAGAAAGTCTTTTCGTTCAAACGTTCAAACGAAAAGACTTACTGGGAAGCTTAATATACATTTCCCTCAATTAATTCTTAAAAAGGCTTAAAACCATCCTCAATTCCTCAAACTGTTGTGAAGTAGTTGTATGAATGTATCGCTTGAAATATTTTGAGCCTCAAAAAAACTTGTCGTGTAGTAGAGCTAACAGCATGGAAAGTAAGAAGTGCAGAAGTTATAGAGAAATGTTTAGGCAATGGATGAATTGATGACGTCACCGGTGAGAGAATTAATCGTGAATGATGTGTCGATTCGATCAACGCTGAACACACAAGCACAAGCGCTTGCTAAAGTTGAACTGCAGCACATTGATGTGGAATGGTTGCAGGTGAGATAAATGGCAAAACAGTGAAAATGATCATGGTTCTGTAAAATGACAAAGCTATTATCTCCAAAATTAAAAGCAATAAACTTTAGGTTTTGTCCGAAGGCTGGGGCACTCCTCTTGGTGGTTTCATGCGAGAAAGGCAATACTTGCAGGTAATGCTATTCTCTTTTAACAAAAACAAAGCATTGATCAATGACTACAAACATTAAACGAACAGTTCTGAAGTATGCTTGCATATTATCGATAAACAATCAGAAATCTCATTTTCAGGCTCTTCACTTTGGTCAATTGTTGGATTTGAAGCACAAATGCGCTTTCCCCGGCGACAACGATGATGGAGCACAGGTGAGAGTGAGAAAGGAACTATATAAAGAAAATAAAATATATTGGATCATTTCTAAAGCCAAATTCAGGATCCATACCCGATGTTGGACTCAGTGAATCAATCGATTCCAATCGTTTTGCCGATCACCCTCGAACAAAAACAAACGATCACCGCTGGTTCGTTTGAATAATTCGATAATTTCAACATAAAATATATGATCTTATAAACTAAGATCTTTAAAAGCCTTAAATTATTTATCTATTTCATCATGATTTAGCTGATGGAACTATTCTCCCCGAAGTGGCGCTCGTCTATAAAGGAAAAGTTCTCGCAATTCTCAAGGTAAGGCATGACAACTTTGAACTACCAAATATCAATATCAATATCAAAACCGTTTTTAAAGACCTTGTTTGTTGTAGTAGTAGATCCTCATGACGTGATCGACTTGCTTGCGGAATAACAGTTAGCGTTTATCCAGAATAATGAAAACGATTAAAAGAATCACAATCAATTTGCTCACAAAAATGTAGAACCAAATGGGATGGAGCGAAAACAAAATAAAGTGGCACTGACTACAAGACGTTCCTAGTAACAACCTAGACAGACGTGGAAGGTGCACTTTAGAAAACAATTTTGTGGAAAGTATAAAATGCTATCTTCTCAATACTGTTCAACAAAAACGTTTTTTATAAATTTTCAAATTATCAATTTTAAAGTGCATTCTAGGAGGGTGAGGTGTTTGACCATCGCAAAGAGGAACGGGTTTGCCGGCAATTCGGCTGTGCCGACGCTCGTCATCCGACCATCGATCTCATCAAGAAAAGCGGTGATTTCTGCTTGGGTGGCGATTTGCAGGTAAGGAATTATTTAAGACAACTAGATAGATTCGTTCTTTGTCAATTTCATTTGAAAACTTCTACAGGTGTTGGAGCGTATCACGTACAATGACGGCTTGGACAGCTATCGCCGAACGCCGAACGAGTTGCGGCAAATTTTCGATCAAAAGGGAGCCGACGCCGTGTTCGTCTTTCAATTGAGAAATCCGATTCACAATGGACACGCCTTGTTGATGAGAGATACGAGGGAGAAGCTGCTCAAAAAATATAAGGTACAGTTCAATCGACTGCTTAACTGGAGGTTTTGCCCCTTCAGAACCCCATGCTTCTCTTGCACCCTCTCGGTGGATGGACAAAGGACGATGACGTTCCACTTCCAGTCAGAATTGAGCAACATCAGGTAGAATTCTGAAAATAAATAATTGAAATAATTGTAAACTTGTAGGCAGTGATTGAGGAAGGAATTCTTGATCCAGCTTGGACAGTTCTCTCAATTTTCCCTTCTCCAATGCTCTACGCCGGTCCAACGGAAGTGCAATGGCATGCGAGAGCAAGAATTGCTGCTGGAGTGCACACATATATTGTGGGAAGAGATCCAGCCGGTATCCAGAATCCAGAGAATGGAGATTTCCTCTATCATCCAGAGCATGGAGCAAAGGTTTGTGGAGAAAAGATTGAGAAAAATTGCAGACATTTGTAGGTTTTATCGATGGCTCCGGGTCTCTCTCACTTGTCGATTCTTCCATTCCGTGTGGCCGCCTACGATAAATCGGTTGGCCGAATGGCTTTCTTTGACCCGAAAAGAAAAGAGGAATTCGAGTTTATCTCGGGAACGAAGGTGGGCAAGAGTTTATTTGTCTAAAATAGCAATGGTTCAGTTAATAAAACAAACCGTAGTTCAATTGGTGCATTTGTTGTTTTTAAACGAAAGTACAAAAGTAGGAAAAGCCTAATATCTCATTGAGGAATCGAATTCAAATTTGCAGATGCGCGGTCTTGCTCGTTCGGGTCAAACTCCTCCCGATGGTTTCATGGCTCCAAAGGCGTGGACGGTCCTCGCTTCCTACTACAAAAAGCTCGCTCAACAAAATGGACACCAAAATGGGGTGGCCAAGTAAATAAGTGGGAGTTGCTTGTGAATGTTTGACACAATTTCTTTTTTTTCACATTGTAATTATATGCAATTCCTTTCCAAGTACATAGTAGTCCAATTTGCAATCTAAGCGATACATATCAGTGATATTATTTTTGATGATTTTCCCATCCAGTGATCGATTCTTTTAGTTTCTAGTACGATTTGCGATTCTAAAATGTGTTCTTTGAAAGTCCATCATAACAATACCCAGTTACATTCGCCCAGTTGAATTCACCCTGAAACTTATTTCTACCGATACTGTGTATCTCATCATAATATAGAAGGAGTTATTTAAATATTTAATTATTCAATTCTTCAATTCTTCAATTATTCAATTCTTCAACTCTTCGAATTCTTCAATTATTCAATTATTCAATTATTCAATTCTTCAAATATTCCTATCTTTTTCATCTCTATTTGGTTGTGGTTTTTACTTCTTTTCTTCTTTTCTTCTTTTCTTTAGCATTCTTTCAATAGCATTGCTTACGAATGAAAGTTTATTCGGTAAACACTCGTTTTTTGTAGTATTCCTCAAAGAAATTCGCAAGAAAGACATAGATTTTACAAAGAAAGAGAAGAATCATGAGCGAAATTGGTAAAGTGAGTGAAATGAAGATGAGCTTTCGAGGATAGCGAACATATTGCGGAAGAGTGATCTGGAAAAGAATCATATAAAGGAAAAGCTAAAGAATTATCTCTTTCACCTCTCGCGTTGAATTGAGCTCATAAAGACTTTGCACATCGATTCCACCATCAAAATGAATCGTCTCACCGTAACGAACCCTGTGAAAAGACTCATAGTCAAACAAAACAATTTGTTTTTTGATTTGAAAACCCTTACAAAATCTCGACTTCCATTGGGTGATAATCGGGAATTGTCGTGATTGAGATGTTGACGTTTGGTTTGTGGGTAAGTCTGTGAAGGGAATCGATTCTGAAAAACTTTTGGAAAGCAGAAGTAATGAGGCTAAGCAAATCGACTGAAATAGCAAACTTGACAGTGTATGTATTGCATTATAGTTTCAAGAAATGTCTTACATTTCCCATAAATGTCTCATACAATGTTCATTCGGACACTCAGCCATCACCTGGAATGTCATAGGGAAATTGAGTTCGATAAAGGAAGTTTACCGCCCTTCCCGTTTGAAATTTGTGAATCAACGGATCGAGCTCATGCCGAACGATTCCATTTCTGAAAATCAGATTAGGATCAACCTCTTAGCAAGATAAAGTCAACATCATTTGTAAGATCAAATCTATAAACAAATATTGTAACTAACGGAAGAAGTTGTCGAATATTGATTCCCACCGCCTCACGAACAATTCCAGTGATAAAAGCGTCATCCACCTAGAAACTCATGTTTTAGTCAATGAAGAAACATTTTTCTTATACAAACTATTAGATTGACAAGAAAGTTCGTAGAAAAAGTTTGCACGGTGATTTCTCAAAAACCAAGCCATAAATTCTTCTCAGTTTTTTGATAAACTTGTTTATATTTCAAAAAGTTTTTGACAAAAAGATCAGAGTGGGCTTCAAGTAAAAAAAAATCAGAGATTTCTTCAGCTGAAGGGACTTGGTCACTTTTTGAGTGACCAGCCTTTAGACAAGTTTTTAATGGGTGAATGGATAGGCAATGGGTTCCATTCTAAACCTAAAATCAAGTACTTAAAATAGGGAAAATTTGTGATAAAGGCAAATTTTATCTAATGCTTTAACTTTTCAGAATCACCTATTTTAGCAAACACTCAGTGCCAAGAAGATGACACCAAAAAATGATTTTTTCAAATACAGTTTCTCTGTAAAAAATTTGTTGGCCAAAAATAGAGATTATAGAGCGTATTGCTCATTTATGCTAGCTTTACCTCATAAGGAATCCTTTTTCTGGTGCAAAAAGTGAGCTGAATTTAAGCTGGAAAATAAACATTTTTCCAAAAATCTCTAAAATTTCAAGGAAAAGCTGCCTTCATTTTTTTACAAGTAATTTCTTGGAGTCGAATTGGAAATAATAGAACAAAATGTTCTTGAATTGATGGATTCGTTTTTAAGAAACTCCAGTCAAACTTTTTCCGAGAACTTTCTTTCCAACCTAAGAATATTTCAATGCATTGTTACCGTAATATATTCCATTCCTTTAATCGCCTCATCCATCAAATACAGTGCTTTTTGGGGAAGAATGTAAGCCGCTCCAGCACAATACTTTGGATAGAAATCAAGAGGATAGGCATCTTCGGAAACGAACCTTACATTTGTGATTTACTTGGAGCTTTCTCCACTCACCATTTGCTATACGGATTTCTGACGACGAGCGTTTGATTATACGAGATCGCCATGCAATATAAAGTATTCGAATCAAAGACTCTAAAGGAAAAATTGAGGAAAATCAATTTTCAAAGCCAACGTACTTTTTGTTTTCAAAGAAATCGATGAGTGAGTGTATATCAAGAAGTGCATCATCATCCAAATGGACAATCCATTTCGTTTTCTGACAGTTTCCCATCGCGTAACGCATCCAGATTAGTTTCTAGATATAAACTGTTATTTTCTTCATCGCTTATCGCCATCGCATCGCCTCTTCTTACCTTAATTGTCATATTGTGATAGTGTTCTTGGAAATTTCCCTGGAGAATATCGTCAAATTCTTTTTGCTTCGGCGACAATCCATTTTTGAAAGAGATCCGATTCTTGAAGACCCAATGTGAAAAGAAATGAGAATTCGTACTAAAGTTTTTGATAGAATATTCGGTGCAAGTGGTTTTTAAACAAAAAAAAATTCTTTTCCTTACCCGTTCTTGTAATTTCCTTTGAGCATAAGTCTCTCGGATCACTTGACGTCGACCGAAATTTGAAGCGGCTGAACAAGGTTTTGCAGTTTTGCAAAATTTCAAAAGCCAATACAAATTCTATAAAGACAAATGTTGTAGCCAATGTTGTAGCCTTTCTATGAAAGCTAGCTAAGATATGAAAGCTAAGCTATAAGCTAACCGATTTGCCAATTAGATTTTCTCAAAGTTTCTTTCAATTTTATATCTTTTCTGATATCAGCATATCAGTCATATCAGCATATCAGCCTGATATCAGCCATATCAGCATATCAGGCTGATATCAGCATATCAGCCAATTTGTCAATTAGATTTTCTCAAAGTTTCTTTCAATTTTTAGGATGATTTTTGCTAACCTGAATGAATCGCAATAAAGACTCTCGTTGTGTCTGTGCACACTTTTCGCTCAGGTTTGATCACAAAGCCAAATGGGCGAAGAAGCTGAAATTATTTGCATCAATTGAAAGACTTTATTTCAGAAAACATTTCCAGAAACGACTATTACTAAATATTTACTTACTTTATCTTTGAACATCGGTTTATTTGCGCCATTTTTTGTTGTTGAAATCAACGAGAGACTTGTTGTTTCGACGGCTTTTCTTGCAATGTTTTCAATTGAGTGTGTCTCGCCTAAATTCTGATCTAATTCTATTCTGAAGCTCTTAAAAGAACCAGTTTCAATCGAATTCACTGTCGATGATGAAATCAATGAATTCTCTTCTAAATCAAGTTTTCAAAAGATCTAAAAGTAGCATACTTTTTTCTGTCGTAACATTCAAAGCAAAGGGGAGGCTCGTTTCAGCTAAAATTTTCAATTTGACAGATCTAGAGAAGGCCAGAAAGCTTTGAATCTGTTGGATAAAATTAGAACTTGATTAAATCAAACAAACTTGGAAATGACTGTGTGGTTGAGCTGAACGTAGCTGATAGGAGTGACTGGGTCGTGCTGACAAGATCAACTTTGACAGAAAGAGTGAAAAAATATAGGCTTTGAAATGCAAGTACCGAGATGAGAAGCATCGAATGGGATTGGAAATTATTCAAATGAATGAGATGATCGAAATCTCGAAGACGAGGGGAGAATGGATCGAGAGGGATCAGAGCGGCTTTTTCCCTCTTTTCCCACCTATCATCCCTGCTCATCTACGCAAATTTCCTTCGTAAAACGGCATCCTTTTTTCCATAGCATTTATATTTTATTCACTGAATAGATTTTGTATTTTTATTTGTATGTCATTTAGTTATTTTTTTGAGTTACCGTATTCTCTCTAATAGTAGTGCGCACTACTATTTTTTCAACCCCCTCCTGGACCGCAATACTATTAGAGAGTGCACGACTATTAAAGAGTTTTATCATTTACCAAAGTAAGACAGATATAAGATTTGTTCCAAAAATTCTTGCAACTCTTTCACGCACTCCTTTGGCTCCTTTTGACATACAGTTGTGGGCCGGCGAGTTGACAATTTGTGTCTTGACAAACAACAAAAAGATGTTTTTGCACTTTGCACAACAATTTTAGATTTTTTGCTAACTTTTTCATGTGAAGAATAGTTAATAAATGAATAAAAAAGCCTCACTTTTGTTTGCTTGAATAGCTTTAAAATGTCACATAAACATAAAGTCAAAAAGGTTTAGATGAAAAAGAAGCACCAGAAATTCAAATTTTCGAGGATGCACTACTATTTTTTCAACCCCCTCCCGGACCGCAATACTATTAGAGAGTGCACTACTATTAAAGAGTGCACTACTATTAGAGAGAATACGGTATACGGCAAACAAAATCGTTTATTACTCTCAATGAATGAAAGAATGCTGAAAAAGATACAGAAATGAAATGAAATGAAAGACACTTTTCAGAGATGACTGGGATCTTTGTTGAGCACCAAATAGAAAAGAAAGAAAGATTTGGGCAATATGAACATTTGAGATATGTAAATTTTAGAAAAATAAAATGAAAGATTACACTGATTTAACCCGATACGTTTGGGGGAGTGTATTTTTGGAGAAATGGGGGCAAGCATCATAAATTGAGGTAAAAACAAGCAAGAAATACGGGGGAAATTGAAAATACTTAAGAAAACGTAAGCAGTGAGCATATTACATTGAGAAATTGGGGGAAATTTACGCGGAATCCCGTCCACTCGAGTGCCGATTCGCGGGATTGGACTGGAAAAAGAGGAATGATTTTTGAGCTCATTTGAATTTAAAAGCACATTCACTTTAAGTATATCTTTCAAACTTCCAAATTAGATGTGTTTCTTAACAAATTTGATTTATAACATCTTTTCTAGACTTCTACCAAAACGAACTTTTCCCTCAGATATCCGATCCGAATTCGTGTCATATGCGCCGTTCTCTCGTCCGCCGTATTCCCCTGCAAAAGCATTTCTATTTTAGATTTTCAAGATCTAAATTTGTTATATTTAATCAATATAAGTGGATATGAATAAACAATATCCTACCTAACAGAATTGGCGAACACAAGCAGTTCATCGCTTCTGTTCGTCGATCGTCTCCCGTCGGTTGAGCTGCCCGGCGAGTGCTTGTTCTCACTGGAAGTAGAAATAAAAATTTGAAATAAACACAACTTTCACATTAAATCAACTCACTTGAACTGCATGGGATCAGGCAAGGTCTCCCAGCAAGGACAGCCTGTGCGGTTGCACGGGGAATCACTGATACATCATAAGGACGTGGACCGGAATGTGGTGATGAACGCATGTAATCCTTGCCGATTCCTTTCTCTTCTCGCCTAGATTTGAGAGTCGAACATTAGCATAAGCTTTTTAGCATAAACTCAAGTGCAAGATCTTTATTTAATTTTCATTTCAGTTTCAAGAATTCCCACCTCTTACAAATGTTGACAACAACACAACAAATGATGCAGGCGACGAGGAGAAGAACGAGGCAAAGGAAAAGAAGGAAAAGGTCGACGGATGAGAGTGATGTGGATGGAGAAGGAGATGATAGGAAATCGAGGACACTCTGAATTTCAATTATTATGTTATTAGGCTATTCAGAAAGTTTTTTCGTTTCTTTTCATACTCCAAGACCTTCAAAGATTTCAAGCTCCCAAAAAAATCAGACATAAGACATTTTAAAGCCGTTTTAACGTTATTTCGTAGAAAAATCATTGGCCTTTCTAATGAAACAAACCGTAGTTTAATTGGTGTGTTTATTGGTTTTAAATGGAAGTATGAAAAGAAATGAAAAGACTTTCTGGATAGCCTAATATGTTATGCAAAATAATACTTCGTCTCCGATGTCAACAAGGCCATCGAGAAACGATCGAGTAATCCCTTCAATTTGTTTCTCTCAATCGGTTTCTTCGTCTTTGATTCCAATCCATAGACATAAACAAAGGTTCTAAATAAATTTTTAATAAACTTACAGTACACAACTTATTCGCAATAGTTATAGCTTTCTCAAAAATTGTACCTTGTTGGATCGATTTGTCCATCACTTCCCGTAAACGGTTCTTTCACAAGTGCGTGCATTTCCAGTATTAGTGAGGTAAGATTGAGAAGATTAACCAATAACTGCAATAGAAATTGCTGAAATAACTTTCTAGAAAACCGACTTTCACATCAACTTCATTGCTTCCCTTTTCAACGGTCAACTGAACTAAGTTCCAGTCTGGATGTAACTTGTAGATCTGAAAATGTTCAGTAAAATAAGCAATTTTATCAGTATCATTATGTTTTTTTTAATTACCGTTATAGGAATCTCGCTGACATGTGCTCCATCAGCTACCGTGCCCGTCAAATGATATTCTTTCCTAAACATTACTTGATATGAGATGGACAAAGATACTTTTGAATATCCCTTTCTATTATACTATTAGCTTGTTCGGATATAAACATGACCGACTTCGAACATCAAGTTCGCGTCTGCTTACTTTACCGTTTATATCCGAACGCTCCAACGTTTATATCCGAACAACCTAATAGAATTGTTTGAATGATCTGTCTTACTTCTGATCATCATGAACGATCTTTTCCAAATATAGATCTCCAGTTGTTGCATTCACAACGAATAAATCCTCGTCTTCGCCATAAATTCCATAAACAAATTGGGTTTTCTCGTCGTTGTCTTGAGCCTAAAGGACTTTTACAATAAATTTTTAAAACCAACTCAAGCCAGACACTTTCCACACTTCAATTAGACTCCACCTGTAGTTGCAGAATGTGCGTATTTCTAGGATCAGCCTGATAATCGAGTACAGCTGAATATTTCCCTTCAGGGCTGAGACGGACAAAGCGGGGTGCATTGTCATTGAGATCTTCTACCCGAATCACAACCAACGCTTGCCAGACTTCCAATTTCGACTTTGCATCTAAAGTTTTGTTTAAATGAAACAATTTAACTCGCTTACGTTCAATAACTGGATTTATTGATTCTCTTTTCTTTTCTTTGCTCAACGATTGATTTGGTGACATTTATGAAGAGAAAATGAATTGATCTTGTCTCTCGATCAAGCGCTCCATTCACAAAAATCTCCCCAGTTTTTCGATCAATCTCGAATTGATCTAAAGGTTCAAACTTCAAGTAAAAATTTTTGCTTTTTTACCTGATCCTTTTCCACAACACATACTCATAGGGTTTTCTATTTGATTCACAGTCTGATGTCACTTTTGTCAACTTGTGTCGCCCTTCGAGATTCTCCGGGATCTGAAGAGTTTGAATACTTTGAATCCTTTTTATACACAATAAAATTTTAAAAACAATGCGAAGTTGATGTCAAAATCTTGCCTGAGCATCGTAAACATTTTTCGGGAAAGTGCAGATTGCTTTATCGGGAATTTCGTCTACGGAAGATCCTCGAGTATTTGGTGGACCTTCCACGTATACATTGTACTAAATCTTGTTGTTAAGAACGATCGTCAAACTTGACTAACCAAGACCGAGTCAACTCCTCGCGAGTTCTGAGCGGTGATGTTTAGTTGATGATATTTGTTCATTTCACTATCGAATGGTTGTCGATTGAGGAAGAGACGACCCTCGGAACCGAAAGTGAACAGGCCTAGAGAAAGTTTTTTGTATTATAGAACAGAGTTTGCTAGTTTTAAAACCCTTTTCAGTATCTATAACACCATGTTTTGAGTGTTTTGAGGCTGACGGACAGTTTTGTCGCCATGGCTGAGAAAAGGCCCGTACAGACGAACACTTTTATATGTCGTAGTCGATTATGAATTTCAGCCGATTATGAATGAGTCTAGGAGCGTCCAACCATCAAGTATTTAGTATCATTCAACGCAGAATCATTGATAATTATGTTAAATTTTTTAAATTAGCAAGATTTGATGAAAAGAACACCAATTATGGGGCTTTAAAGTTTTCTCTTGAACAAACAGTTTTTTTGCTCTAATTTTTTTTCTTTTCATCAAATCTTTCTAATTTCAAAAATTGAATATAATTATCAATGATTCTGCGTTGAATGACACCAAATACTTGATGGTTGGATGCGTATAGATCCACTTATTCATAATCGGCTGAAATTCATAATCAGCTACGGGGATCCAGCCGACTTTGAATGAAACGTTGTAGCGCCGGCAATTTTTAACCTAAACTCACAAATTTGATACCAATCGACGCAGAATTCAATTCGCTACAAGATGATATAATATTGTCCTCATACATTAAAGGGTTGCTCTACTAGAAAGATTTGCCAAAAAATTTCATTCATAATCGGCTACGACATATACAGTGGTCCACAAATGTATTGTCCCATTGCCATCCAAAAGTTTCTTTCGTACGAAAATCTTGCAAAATAACGATATTCCCAAAAGGTGTAGGGTATTTTGCTTACCCATAATACTCTACTTTTCAGGATTATAAGATTTAAGACGGTGGAAACATAATGTGTTGGGGTAAGAACCTTTTAGTATTTTGTTACCTAATTTTTTTTTCTTTAGAGACGATGTCTCGAACTCCAGTAGGTCCGTTAGTCTATGTCGAACTCGACGATGGATACTGGCCTAAGCCTAAGCCTGCTTCAAGCTCTACCTAAGCCTAAGCCTGCTTCCACCTAAGCCCAAGCCTAAGCCTAAGCCTAAGCCCCAAGCTTCCAAGCCTAAGCTCCTGCTTCCAAGCCTCCGGGCCTAAGCCTGGCTTCCAAGCCCCAAGCCTCTGCCTGGCCTGCTTCCAAGCCCAATACCCACTCAGCCCCAGCCTACCTGCCTCCAAGCTTCCAAGCCTGGGCTTCCAAGCCCCAAGCCCCAAGCCCCAAGCCCAAGCCCCAAGCCTGCCTGCCCAAGCCTGCTTCAAGCCTCCAAGCCTGCCCCTGCCCAAGCCCCAAGCCTGCCTCCAAGCCCAAGCCCCAAGCCTGGCCTGCCTCCAAGCCTCCGCCCAAGCTCCAAGCCTGCCCCGGCTTCCGGGCCTGCCTTCCAAGCCTGGCCCAAGCCCAAGCCTAAGCCCAAGCCCAAGCCTGCCTCTGCTCAAGCCTGCCTGGCCCGCTTCCGCCCGTCCCAAGCCCCATCCAAGCCTGGCCTGGCCTGCCTGGCCCGTTCCAAGCCGGCTCTGCTTCAAGCCGCAGTTTCTCAAGCCTACTGATAATGCAGTATTCAGTAGATGTGGTTGAGAAGCATTAATGTAAATCAAACAGAAAAATGAAAGAATCAACAAGGACAAGAAAAAGAATTTAAAAATAACGGAG